AGGGTTTGCTCTTGCCAGAACCTTTCTTAAATGCTGTTTTCATTTAATCCTCATACCATTCCTGCAAGTTAAGAATGATCCTCTTCTTTTTACGGTTGAAAAAACTGAGGTTCAGAGAGGTCAGCTAACTTGCGTAAGGTTGCAGAGCTTGTGTGGTAGGGTTGGAATTTGAGCCCAGGCCTGTGCTGCGCTGCTTCACGGGAACGGCTTTAGTGTCTGTGAAGCCTGCAAAAACAAGACAGTGCAGGAGGTGGCATTCAGTCAGCTTCAGCCAGCACCCAGGGTCCACCCTGTTCAACGGAAGCCCCAGAAGATGTCCTTCTACCTGGGTTTTAATGGAGACAAAACAGCATCAGATGGCGTTGGCAGAGTCCATCCTCTGTAACAAGAACCGCAGCCACTTTACTGTACACATGTGGTTTATGACCCACACCGGGGGTGGAGTCACAATCACTGCTACCATCCTTGTGTCGCACACTGGTCCCCAGCAGCTAATGATGAAACCCAGTGCCCTGTAAAATCTCCAAGATTTTCTAGAAGTCTCTGAGCTTCTGGCAGGTTCCTATGCATCCATCAGGCAGCTTCCTTGCAGCAGCCTTCGTTTCCCTCCGCTGTCTTTGGTCTGACCACTGTCAGGTGCTATCGGTGGGGTGCAGTCCCTAAGGACAGACTCTAGATTCAGACCCCCACAGTTCCCATCCTACCTCTGCCACTAACTCCCTGGGAACTTTCCTCCTCTATAAAGTGAGAATGATTGTGCTGACCTCACAAAGTTGTAAAGATTAAGTGAAATAATCCATTCAAAGTGCTTAGCATGCTGTTTTGCAAATAGAACTCCTTCAAGGTTAGCAATTATTGTTTGAACTCCACTGTATCTTCCAGGCCTGATAAGAAGAAGCAGTGTTTGAAACCTGTGTGGGTAGAGCCCTCTTCAGAGAACTTTCTGGAGACAGATCCCTGTAGAGGCAGGAAGTTTCTGGATATGGAGAGAAAGATGGGGGAAGAGCGTGACTTCCAGCAAAATGGACTGGTTCCTCTCAACTTCTCTTCATAGCCCCTGGGCATTGTGGAGAGTTTTACTGGCCTGCAACTATAGCTTACGAATTTTTATTAAACATTTCATGGAAATATTATGCTTGCATGTCCAAACATGTAATTTGCGTTATATACCTAGGGTTTTCTGTTAAACTTTTTAATATATTTTTTCTGGGGGAGATGCCCTTTTTCTGTGATGTTGATCTTAAAAATTTTGGTTCTCAAAAATTTTAAGCACAAGTTAAAAATGTAAATTCCTTGTCTTCACCCCGAGAGATTCTGATCTTGGAGACCTGGCAAGGCAGAAATAACTTTAAAAAAAATTTTAAATTTTATTGACATCATATTGGCTTATACCATTGTGTAAATTTCAGGTGTACATTATTATATTTCAGTTTCTGTATAGACTGCATCGTGCTCACCACCAGTAGTGTAGTTTTTATCTGTCACCATACATATGTGCCCGTTTACTCCTTATGCCTCCCCCCTCCTCCTTCACCTCTGTAACCACTAATCTGTTCTCCTTATGTATGTGTTTATCTTCCACATATGAATGAAATAATATGATATTTGTTGTTCTCTGTCTGACTTATTTCACTTCATGTAATACCCTCAAGATCCATCCATATCGTCACAAGTGGCACGATTTTGCCCTTTTTTATGGCTGAGTAGTATTCCATTGTATATATATATACACCATGTCTTCTTTATCCATTCATCAGTTGATGGGCACTTGGGTTTCTTCCATGTCTTGGCTACTGTGAATAATGCTGCAAAGAACATAGGGGTGCATAAATCTCTTTGAATTGTTGATTTCAAGTTCTTTGGATAAATACCCAGTAGTGGGATAGCTGGATCATATGGTATTTCTATTTTTAATTTTATGAGAAATCTCCTTACTGTTCTCCATAGTTGCTGCACTAGTTTGCATTCCCACCAATAGTGTATGAGGCTCCCTTTTCTCCACATCCTCTCCAATATTTGTTATTTCCTGTCTTGTTAATTATAGCCATTCTGGCGGGAGTGAGGTGATATGTCATTGTAGGGTTTTTTTTTTTTTTTGAGGAAAATTAGCCTTGAGCTAACTGCTGCCAATCCTCCTCTTTTTGCTGATGAAGACTGGCCCTGAGCTAACATCCGTGCCTATCTTCCTCTACTTTATACGTGGGATGCCTACCACGGCGTGGCTTGTCAAATGGTGCCATGTCAGCACCTGGGATCCGAATGGTGAACCCCGGGCTTCTGAACAGGAATGCGCGAACTTAAACCACTGCGCCACTGGGTGGGCCCCTCATTGTAGTTTTTATTTGCATTTCCCTAATAATTAGTGATGTTGAATATCTTTTCATGTGCCTGTTGGTCACCTGTATATCTTCTTTGGAAAGGCAGGAAATTTTTTAACAAGCATTTGGGTTACCTTGGAGAAAGGTGGTCCAGAAAGCACTAGAGCAATATCTAAGGTAAAATCTGAGGAATGAATAATTTGGGAGAAGTTATCAAAATGTACATGATGGATGCCCTGCATGGTTTCTGAAAAACTCAGAGGAATTTTTCACAGTTCCTTTGGTGAATGTGATGGCTGGCACTGCTAAGGTGGAGGGAATTACTCCTTACCCTCCCCACGTCTTTCTGGAACTCTTAATAGATGCTTCGTTACACAGTTAAGCTGCACCCTTCCTACGGCTTGAACTGCAGAGCAATCTAAGTTTGAGGTTGTTTCTGTCCACCACTCCTTGAATTCACCCCCATGGGGAAAGTCATAAACTCTAAGGACAGATTTAATGGAAGTAATATTTAATGCTGCTTACAAGTCTCTATCTCTGCCTGAAATAGCAGGATCCTCACTATACTCAGCTAGGACCTTTATTTCCCCATAAGAGAATCCACTCTATTCAGTCAAAGTACAGAAGAGAATTATTAAAGAATATAAGGAAGTTCACAGAACCTCCAGGTGGATGGGCCAGGAGGTCCTGAAGTCAGGAGCAATGCTCAAATGCACCTTGAGTCTGTTCCAGCGACGACCCTATTGCCGTTGTTGTGAGAACAGACAGGGCAACCCGCTGCTGGTGCCAGGACTGGGCACTAGCCCCACTGTGTCTGATACTCCAAAACAGGACACTTCTTCTGCCACACTGCAAGAAGATGGGTTCCATGTGGAGTCTCCCTCTTCTCAGATGTAATCAGGTATATCTAATTATGGGATCTAAGTCACATGCCTGTCAAGTGGTGTGTTAAGCTGTCTCAAACCAGCTCGTGAGAAGTGACTGTCAAGTTTCAGGGATTTTATGGGCCAGTTTTTAAAAATAGGAATGAGAGTATTTACACCATGGAAATTGGCAAATGCTACAAATCAGGGCTTTTTTGCCCCCTAGAAAGCTGACTGTGGAACATTTACCGTCACATCCTTGCAAAAGATGCTGGAGAGTTTGACCTCACATCTCCTTTGGGAAGGTAGACCTCATAATGTGTGAAATTCTTGAAAGACAGGGATGCTGTTTAAAATATGCTGTACAGCCACTCAAATAGTACAGCTGTTGGTTTCCAGGTTTCCTCTAAATGACTCCCTTGTCAGAGCATCTTCTGATGCCTGATAATGTAGAGTGAGATGGAACCGCACATGTGCTTCAGGTCATAGCCAGAATCTACAGCCTTGTCTCCTCCACTGGGCACTCTGCCAAGCAAGTCTGCTTTCCCTGAAATAACTCAGACTGTTTATTAAAGGACAGAAGGGAACCATGTGGCCTGTTGTCAGAAAATGGTGAGTTCTTGGCACTATATTTGAGTAATTCCCTGTTTGTTCTATTGACCCTGACTCTCTTTTAAATGGATCAGTTGAAGCTATGGTTGATTGTAGTTTCTCCTCAATCTTAGAGCTACAAAGACACTTTATTTACTAAAACCCAAGCCACTTAAGGAAACCTTGAAGGTGCCTGTCGAGGGACACAGTCTGTATATAATCCAGGGACAGACCCATGACTCTCTTCCATCTGACTGTGCTCTAAGAGTCAGTCTTGGACTAGAGAGGACCCTGCTGTGGACTCAGGAAAGGAGGGTCCAAGGAAAGCCAGGCAGATGGAGGAGCAGAGACTCTGCCTCAACCCTCTCATAATGTCTCCGCAGCTATGAAGAGGTTGAGTAGTGGCTTCTGGTGTTGACAACCTGGAGGGAGGTTTGTTGTGTTGATCTGGAGAGAGGACAATTGGGAAGCACTCTCAGTTGGCCGATGCGCCAGGTCTCACTGTATGTCCTGTGTCTAGGTACCCCCGGGGGCTGGGATGTGCCCAATATACAGCAAATTCAAAAGAAATCATGGCCGAACTTTTACCATTGTGAGTTGCACGGCTCGCGGGCCCTACACTACGTAAAGTCGGTGACCTTTTTCCTGCAGTTTGGATTGGATCCTAGATTTTCTGAAAAGTTTTAATTTAAAAAGAGGAGTGCAAGCAGCCTGCAGCTGCATTACAGTTTTCCTCCAGGCCAGAAGCTTTCCTATAAACCATTTGATGGAGTAGCAGATGGCAAAGTGACAACCTTTGTAGCTCTAAGTCTTACTAGAGACCACGATCGACTACAGTAATGGACTGTCTTGTAACCCAAATTGATGCTTTTATTGTGAACTGATGGGCTTGTCACTTGTTCTGCTTCTTTGTTAATTATGATGAAAATCACTATAATTATAAATATTGAGCAATAAGTCTTTGGCCAATATCCTTTAGATATAATTTGTGTTAACTGAATACCCTCTTTTGAATATCCCTTTAAGAACTGAAAAGGAGGAAAGAGATGACTCTGAGAAATCCGGGGCATTTCTGAGTAAGCGTGAATTGGATTATAATAGGCTGCAATGAGAGAGCTAGAATATGCTGGAATACTTTATATTCAACAGAGCTCATCTGGGTCCTGGCAGTCAGGAATTCTGGACGCAGATTCTCTCCAGTAAAATTCTTACCTTGTACCCATTGTAGGCTGATTAAGGATGTGGCATTGGAGTGACATTATTATCAGCTCAGCTTCTTCAGGCTGAAGTTATAGACCCCAAGAGCCACATATTCCATTTCTGTGTGATGCTTCCCGGATGTGGGCCCTGCATATGTATGGTGAGTGAATGGTTGCCCCTCCGGTGGAAGGTACCCAAGATTAATAGAAAAGGCTGCCTTTTGTCAGGTATTATAATCAGGAAGATGAACGTTTCCTCTGTAATACAGTTTTTGCTTTTACTTCCAGGATGCTGCAATTAAAGCCCTGGCCAGAGGATAGGGACGTGAGTAATGGTGGTGCCCAGCATTAGCACAACGCTCCATTCATCACTGCTGAAGGGGAAACGTAACCCTCAAAACATCCTGGGAAGAGGGGGACGGGGAGGAAGAGCAAGCTCCTTGGGACCATAATTCACCACTCAGCAGAGGACGTGAGAGTCTCCACATTAGAAGGGACTCTGTTCTTTGAACTTCAATGCATATAATGGTGTTTGCAATGTGACCATTGTGTGGAGCTGATTAATCACATGATTGCCATGTGAATATTTTCCAGGCAGGCATTCGAGTTCATGTATATGTGTTCCCTGTTTATGGAGGGCCATCTACACCACCAACATTGGGTAGAAACTTGGCTCAGACTCTTCATTCAGAGCAAACCGGTTTCCCCTTCATTATATGTACTCTGTACCCTCCTTTAGTGGTGACATGATTACTACATGTCATTGGCTTGCGGTTTGTGGAGTAGAGGCTGTGAATCTGATTTTTATTGTTTCCCAGTCAGTGCAGCATATTCTGAAGGAGAATAGAGGGTTGGAGACCTCTGGTTCAGGTCAGAATAAATGCTGAAAGGCTTGACTTTGGAAAGGGTAAAAACAATTCAATTTAAACTAGATCCTCAGCCAGAGGCAGGGAGATGAAATGGTACCCAATCTCCCAGAAGAGGTTGGCATGATCTTTGTGCCCTAATCAGGCTTCCTTGAGCTCATGTGAGAGTCGAAGTTGGGAAAATCAAGGAGGAAGTCATATCCCAGAATCTGGATCAACACTGCAGAGCAGCGGGTGGGCGAGGGGGTGGATAGAAAGGAGAGCTGTGCCTAGGGGTCTACCAGCTGGCCCAGGGCAGATCCCAAGTCGACGAGTGACAGGGTCAGTTCCAGGCACCACCACCTTGAAATCTGAAGCTGCTGCTCTGCTCCCTGTCTCTGCCACATTGGACCCAGGGCTGTAACTGGGTCCTCAGATATTCCTGCTGGGAGGGGATGGGGAAGGTGAAATCAGAGAAATAAGGCAGGGGCTGACCTCTTATGAAGTTTCTCCTGAAAGACTGTCATGGAACAGTGTCCTAGAAACCAGGATGAAGGGCTGCTCTGACCCACTGGCTTATCATGGATTAGAGAAGATGCCTATGATAGTACAGGCAGCAGGGGATGGGGAGATGGAAACTGCAGAGAGTGACTTCTCCAGGCTACCCAGCTGTCATCCTACAGGACACATCCTCAGACAGGCAAGCTTTGCCCACTGGCTGTGTCTGTGTTTTTGCACAGACTGGCACAGCTGAGGTCCAGCTCCTCCCGAATCCTGGGCCCTCAGAGTCGCACTAGCCTGACTGTGTCCCTGGCTGTCCCTGCCTCCAACTCAGTCGGGAGAGTGTAGAAGATAGTTACCAAACAGGTGATTTTTGGGATTTATTTCTCTAGCTGACTTAACAATTGCCACTTTCTTCTTCTTTTGGTTTCCTTGACCTGAGAGTGTTAAGATGGTGAGAAAGCTCAGAATGGCAACACTCTGAAGGTAGACCGGGGATAGAAAAAGCCTCATTTTCTGTTTCTGAGAGGTTTGCTTTTCTCTATGTTGCCCACGGAGACCCGGAAGCCACTCCTCCCAGTGGGAGAGGAACCTCTTGTTTCTCTTGGTTTCTGTGTTGTGCGGCTCGGCTCCGACTGCAGCTGAAACTTGACATAAAGCCGCAGTGAGCGGAGTCGCACATGCTGCTTCTCAGGCCTCCCCTGATAGTACCTTGTTTGGAGAGAATTATGACTGAAAGGGGAACAAATTCCCGCTGGCCAGAAACTTGGCTTAGAAGCGCTCCTATGGGGAAGCTCTTTTTTGTTTGCCGTTTAAATAAATCCACTGATAGAATCAATATTTGTGAGTATTAGGGAAGACCAAGTAAACAGACAAAGCCTGACATATTCATTGCAAACAGGAGCACTCCTGAGGTTCCCAAGGGTAATTGAGGAGTGGGAGAGGGGCATCGTTTCCTGCACAGATATATGAACTGTTTCATTAGTTTAGACACGAACACATTTTTCTTTAAAAAGAGTTGTTACTGAAATCTTGCCAAATTTGCGCCTCTTACTAGGTATACAAAGCATCAAGAATATGAGGTGCAAATAACAGCATTAAGATTAGCTCTCACCTCGTCCCCACCATCTGGATAAAACTATGGAAAAGGAGAAAAGCAGCTCCTGGCATTCTGGAACTGGCAGGGCAATGACACCTAGGCGGACAGAAACAGTCCCCCGAATATCACATCAGAGGCGGGCATTCTGTGACTGCAGTGAAGGGAGAGAACAAACAAATGAGAGAACTTGGTAATTTTGTCTAAACACAGATAAAAACAACCCACAAAAGTCCCAAACATCCTCCTATTATGGCTCATAATGAGTGACTATCACAGCTCTAGCCTCAAGTCGTAGCTCTAGCCTAATGGACAAGATCTGTTGAGATACTCAGTCTAGGACAGCCCTCCCTTCCTGATAGCATCCAATCCCTTGCAAAGTCCTGCTTCCTTTTACCCTCCCCAAAATCACCTAGCCCGTGCCCAGCTCTATAATAAATCCTTTCTCTCCCTTCTTTCCTGAGATGCCCCACGGTCCCCGTGGTGTGCATTCTTCCTTACTGCAATGAGTGATACAGCCAAATCCTCCAGGTGTCGGTGTGCTGGTGAGCTCACCTGGAGGACATTGACGCTATTCACTAGTTTCTCAACTGCCAATCCTTCCATCTCTTCTTTCCTGAAAACAGAACCATGATGTTGTGGCCAGTGGAACCCTCTTGTTCTCCAGGGAGGGCGGCCTCACTCCCAACCCGGGATGACTCATGACAGGGCTTTGCAGATGTTCAGTTCAGGGATGGGCTTGGGAACCAAGTCTGGTCAGTGTCACTTGAGAGGAAATGGATTTATTGTGCTATTTTTAACTAGAAGTGCATATTTTTAATGACTATATTACATTTAGTTGCGTGAAAGTCTTTAATGTTTCGAAATTTAAAACATCTCACTTATGGCAGAGGGTAAAAGCTGAGCAACTTGGTGTGGTTTAACTTTCTTCCTCTCACAGCATTAATTACATCCTAAGACATAATATAGTATTTTAGACACACATTATTGGTACTTATTTTTTTATGTCGTATTGCCTTTTTTCAAGGACTGTTTTTTTTTAAGATTTTATTTTTTTCCTTTTTCTCCCCAAAGCCCCTCGGTACATAGTTGTATATTTTAGTTGTGGGTCCTTCTAGTTGTGGCATATGGGATGCAGCCTCAGCGTGGCCTGATGAGTGGTGCATGTCCTCACCCAGGATCCGAACCAGTGAAACCCTGGGCCGCTGAAGCAGAGTAGGTGAACTTACCCACTTGGCCACGGGGCCAGCTCCGAAGGACTGTTTTTGATATATGCCCTGTTTCATTAAAAATATTCAAAGCAATGTGTGTTCCTCCTCCTCTTCCTTTTTGTTACACAGCCCACCAGCATTTCTTTAATGCTTTATTATTTTTCCCTTCACATGAACAGTAATTCTGGGTCACAATGTTCTTTCCTTGAAGCTCTGTTCATGTTGCTGCTTTGTCTTCTGAAATGCTGTTTTGAGAAAGAAGTCTCATGCTAATCTGGCATTTTTTTTCTTTGAATGTACATCTTAAAAATAATTTAATCTTACAAAATATGTAAAAACTCTCTTGGAAAATCCATCAGCCTGCTTCTTGAATAAATTGTAAAGTCAGTTGAACTATTGATGAAATTTCCAAGAAAAGAGAACAAAATATATTATTTCAAATGCCACATAATGAAAAATCTAATCCTTGTCAACACTTGGTATTGTCAGTATTTTAAATTTTAGCCATTCTAATTGGTACATAGTGGTATCTCATTGTGATTTTAGTTGGTGTTTTTCTGACAACTAATGATGTTGAGCATCTTTTCATATGCTCACTGGACATTCCTATAACTTCTTGTGTGAACTTTTTTGCCCAAAATTTGGTTGCTTGTTTTTCTTCCTTAACTCTTTAAGAGTTACTTCTATATTTGGATACAGTCTTTTAGCAGATATCTGCTTCACTTTAAGGAATTGAACTGGAAATTGTAGCCGAATGTATGGGTGTCATTTCATTAAAAAGGACTTTATGTATCTCCACTCTGTGATATAAATTTAAATAAAGCGTTTTGATACCATGTGAACAGATTGGCAGGTGCATGAACAATTATGTGTTTTAATCTGAAATGTTTAATAGAGCTATATTAATTTCCTGTTGCTGCTGTGACAGATTACCACAACATAGCGGCTTGAAACAGCCCCAATTTATTACCTTACAAGGTCCATAGGTCACAGGTGTATACTGGGTCTCACTAGGCTAGAATCAGTGTCACAGGGGCACTGTCCTTCTGGAGTCTCTGGGAGAGAATCCATTTCCTTGCCTTTTCCATCTTTTAGAGCATTCCTATACCCCCATGGCTTGTGGCTCCACTCCTCCATCTTCAAAGACAGCAACATCAGGCTGTATCCTTCTCATGCTGTCATGAGCTTCTCTTTTGCCTCCCTCTTTGACCTTTAAGGACCCTCAGAGTTACAGTGAGCCCTCTAGGATAATCAATAGATTATCAATGGATCTTCCTATGTTAAGATCATCTGATTAACAGCCTTAATTCCACCTGCAGTCTTAATTCCTCTTTGCTAATGTGATAAACTTATTCACAAGTTCTGGGAATCAGGATGTGCACATCTTTGGAAGGCCACTGCTTTGCTCACTACAGTATGTATTATTAATTCTTAAGATTTCTCCATATTTCCAGGTTTTTTGATTAACCCATGAACTTCTGGTCCCAACTGCATTGGACAAGAGGACCTCTACAGGGTCTGGGGGAATTTCATAATGCAACAGAGATTAATCTTACAGCTACCTTTGAGGTAGGATGATTACCTTATACTGGTGATGGAGAGAAATTTTTGCCCAGTGTCACTCACTTGGAAATTGACAGGGCCCAGACTTGAATCTGCTGCTCAAGGGAACTGGAATACTCAAATATGGGGGGCAGGAGGGGCACTATATTAAAAAAAGATATAGAGGCCAGCCCAGTGGCAAAGTGGTTAAGTTCATGCACTCCGCTTCGGTGGCCCAGGGTTCGCAGGTTGGGATCCTGGGCGTGCAGCTACACACCATTCATCAAGCCATGCTGTGGCAGTGTCTCACATACAAAATAGAGGAAGATTGGCACAGATGTTAGCTTACTGAGAATCCTCCTCAAGCAGAAAGAGGAGGATTGGCAACGTATGTAGTAGGCTCAGGGCCAATCTTCCTTAGAATGAAGGCTGTCATATTTAGATTTACGAGAGGCTGGTACTAAAGTAGATGAATCCGAACACAATGAGTCATGGCAGGGATGAGGTATGGAGAACATTGGTCATTTTTATTTAATTTTGGTGGAAAAGACATTCCATGCTTGGCATCAAGCATCATACTCCCTGAGCACCAAAGGCAGCAGAGGAGAGGATTCAGGGAGGTGTCAGGAAGAGCACAATTCAGGAACACGTGGGAGACACCGACAGACTCCCTCACGAAGAAGGGATGAGTGGCACTGGCCTGGAAGGGGTTCTGCTGGTAGAGGCTGACCCTGGGACTTTCTTACCAGATCTCGGAGTCCGAATTGAATGTCCAGGTTGATGTGGCCCGGGAGTGATGGTTTAGAGTACAGTTTGGTATGTGATATAAATGACAAAGTATAACTAAAGAAACAAGTCCATGACTACAACGTTCTGATGACTCTCGAAGGCAGCCGTGCTGCAAGTTTCACAAATGGACGTAAGTGCCACATACAGACATTAAACAGAAAGCTCCACTGGAAAACAAATTGGTACCTGCCTAGTGATGTTGTGTTGTCTCCTTCCTCTCTGCAGTTTGTGGTTAAAAGTCTTTGACCTCTTTATTCCCGGCTTACCTCCTATGGAATTGAGCAGTCATCTCCAGGAGCCCCTGGCTCCTGCGTTGGAGGGGCTAAGCAGCCTGATCACATTGCAGGCTGCAGTACAGGGTCCCATCCTCCGAGGGCCCAGGAGGCTGAGTGATGTGACCTCGCTCCCCTCACTTTTGAGCAGTTTGTCTACTGGGTATCTGAACATCTCCTGGTCGGGAGCGGGTCCCAGGTCGGTGCCAGAGGCCTGAAAAGGTGAAGAGAAGGCAGTGACTGCATTTCTCTGAGGAGTAGTGATCCACATGCAGCACGTATACTGTTACCGTTATGAAGAGGTTAATTATATAAAAAGAAAATCATGTAGGATAGTATCAATATTTTAAAAATTAAAGGCAAACAAAAAGAATGAAAAATAAGGCTCTTTTTATGAAGACTAACTGGAAAACAATACTTCTAAGAATTTAATTTCTTAGCTACTTCTCTCTCTCTGTCTCTCTGTCTCTGTCTCTGTCTCTCTCCCTCTCTCTCCTTTCTTGATTGGCTATTATTACGAGAAAATGCAGGCTGCAAAGACTCTGTGTAAACATTGAAGAAATTACTGTAGTGTTCAGTTCGTAATACTGAGCTGTTTACCTGTTTTTCATATTAAGTCTATTGTCTAGGATCCCTGAACCAGATCAAATAGACCCGACACCTGGTTAAAGCGTTAGTGTAACAGCAACGAACGCCATCTGATTGCCAGGGAGACTATGCTTCCAGGTTTCATTCTGTCGCTCAGAATCAAAGCTTCAGTCCTTATGCTCTGATATTCCCCGGAGCCAGGCTAGCAGCAAATAGGAGGCACATGCGTGATATTACTCTCTTGTCCATTTCTCAGATTTTTCAGGTGCCACACAAAACCTTCCTTCATCAGTCAAAACAAAACAAAAAAATCCCTTGCAAAAAGATTCAGGCAAATTACTTGCTTTGGCCGCCCACTGTTTCCCCAGATAATTGCAGATGGAGGTGTTTGGATCTCGATGTGGGCCTGTTTGTTGATAATAAAGCTTTCATCATGCTCACATGCATATGGATTTCTGATCATTTTGGTTTACTGTTGAATCAAAAGGCTGCCTCTGAATTAGAAGCTTCTTGTGAAATATTAAAGCTGGGTAATGACTTTTAGCTTAATCACTTTTCACTTGGGCCAGGATTGGTTTATGGTTTGGTAAATGTCTAGGGTACTAGTTATAGTGATTTTGGATGACTCTCAATGGTTCTCCGAATTTGGGCAGGACCCATCTGGCCATTTGAAGATTTCAGCATCGGGTTGTTGCATATCCAGCAATCGCTTGATAGATTCAAACTTTAACTAGTATTTGCACCACTCAAATGTCCTGGTTTCCCATTAGTTGTTTAGTTGGAGTAACTCTCAGAACAGATGTTTTTCCTTTGGCCTTGATGCACATGAGGTAGGAGGAGCAGGGTGAATCTCGCTTTCCATATCAATCTCCACGGTCTTTAGTGCAGGAGAAAAAGAAAAGGTTCTTATGGAAAGTAGTGTAGAATTCCCACAGTGAAAAGCTCATTTAAGGAATTGGAAAATGAATATGTAAGCCATTACCTCAAAACTACAGTAAAAAGGGACAATGTTATCTCAGCAGAGGAAAGTCAATGTTTTGTGGACTTTTGTCTTCATTTCAGTTTATGAGTTACCAGAAGGTTCATTTGCATGCATGCATAGCAGTACATCACTCACATGCCATTATCCTCCGTGTCTGGTATCTCTTGATACCAAAACCACATGGAATGCTTTTAAGATAGAGCCTAAAAAATACAGACACTTGCTGACTTGTAATTGACAATAAAGTGTTCCTCTATTTTGAGAGTCGCTCATTGCCACCACACGAGGCTCTCCTTACGGTCTGCAGTCACTGGTGTTATATGAGTCTCTCATCTTATATAAAAGTTGACAATCTGCATGGATATATATTTTATTCTGCATTTCCAATAGTTTTGTGAGGGAGATTGGGGCAGCGGTACTATTCTTTCTAGAGTAAATGAGAAAATCAAGAGTCTGTCATGACCTGCGAAGGCTCCGAGATTTTACCCTACGTGTGAACTGACAAGCTAGCCTATGACTGTTCTCTGGATGCTGGCAGAAGACATAAAACTCCTAGGTCGGAGACGAAGGCAGCACAACAAACGGCAGGAGCATGATGTCGGCTCCATTTCCCCTTGCCCTCCACCCACGGGGTGACACAGAGGGACCCAGACGGATGCTGCACATGCAGTGGGTTTTGTTACAGGAGAGGAATTTGCTGTTTTTATAG